AATAGGCAATTTAGATCGCACGATTTCACCACGTATTGACGACACAGTGTCGGTTTGAACGAACGGCACTATGGCAGCCACTATAGTCTTAGAACACACAATAGGAAGAGTTAGGAGGGTTACGAGTTGGGAATGACTCCCAGCTCCTACAAACCCCAAGAGCCGAGGTACAGTGATGTGGAACAGTGCCACACTGTCCCCAACCACGAAGGGTCTCGAAACTACCCTTCACTAGGGCCTACACCAAGTGAAATGTTACACTACACATTGTAATGTAACTATTTTCAATATCTTGAGGTGTACCCTTTTGGCGAGCTTCGAAATCACTTGAAGCTTGCAACCAAGGCTTGGGTCCTTCATCACAAACTCATCCTTGAGTTCTTGATGGGTCTGCTGCACACACCTGCGATACGCCGAACGTTCGACACAGGACAAAATAGAAACCGCGCACGACAAAATAGAAACCGCGCGCGAGACACAAACGACCGCGTAACACGCGTCCAGCGATAACTCGCTATTGACTCGACACACACACTCGACATCATGACTCGACATTCACACACAATTATAAGCATGAAATATATATTATCCCATGCCCTCATACCATTCTATACACACACACATGCACGCACACGGACAACAAGCCGAGTGCAAACCGTAGGGTTGCACCAACATAATGGGCCTGTTGGAGCTGGAGGTATTGTAGGAGTTGGAGCTGGAGGCAGTGGAGCTGGAGCTGCCGGAGGTACTGGAGCCGCTGGTCCGGGAGGTGCTCGTACTGGAGGTACTGTTGCTGCTGGAGCTGGTGGTGTTGCAGGAGTTGGAGCTGGAGGCACTGGAGCTGGAGCCGCTGGTCCTGGAGGTGCTCGTACTGGAGGTACTGGAGCTGCTAGAGCTGGTGGTGCTGCAGGCGTTGGAGCTGGGGACCCTGGAGCTGGAGACACTGGATCTGGAGGCGCTGGCCCTGGGGGTACTTTTGCTATTGGTGCTGGTTCTGGAGACACTGAATTGCCGCGTCCGTACTTTGTTCCCCTGCTTCAGCAAGTTCTTGGTCTCCTGTCTTCTACTAGCCTTACTCCTCCCTTACTGTGTCCACCGCCTCACCAGTCGAAGCCGCCGTTACAGCCAGCCTCCCCACTGCCTGCTCCTTCTCCTTAGACTGAGCAGACCGGAGGTCTTACAGAGTGTCGTGAGCCTGTGTCTCGTCCTACCTCGCCTGTTCGCGCCATTCGCAATGGTCGTCGTGTTCCTCGTCAGCGTACTCCTCCTATCCCCGGCATGCACCATATGGCACTTCGTCCTTCCTCTCTTCCACAGCGTGTCCCCCTGCCGTCTCCTCCTGCGTCCTCTCTTGCTGGCGGTCCGAACCCTGAGTCTGACTTAGTTCGTGCAGCCAGTCCTACTGTCCCTCGTCTTCTAGCCACTATTGTCACTGACCCTTCATTTGAGTCTACTGCTGTGTTTGCCCTAGTTGCTAAGCTTGTTGACTTTGCTGCCACCTGTCGTCTCGACTACGCCGCTAGTCTTGTTGCTGAGTCTGAGTCTGACTGTCCTCCGTCCGTCGGGGGTGAGTGTGCTCTTGGCACGAACGTCCTTGAGGACAGGCAGGAGGACTTTGAGTGTTTTGCAGCTGCTATACCTCATCTCGTGTCCATGGTGATTGCACCTGAGGGAGACCCGGATGCACCAGACATTCCGACCCCACGCTCTTACGCAGAGGCGATTACGGGTACCTACTCCTCTCAGTGGGAGACAGCCATGGACGCACAGATCGCATCCTGGAAGTCCACAGGCACCTACGTCAACTTAGTTCCCCCTTCTTGGGCGAACATAGTCGATGGCATGTGGATTTTCAGGGTGAAGCGGCCGCCGTGTTCTCCGCCTGCCTTCAAGGCTCGTTACGTTGCACGAGGCTTCAATCAGCGATAGGGAGTTGACTTCTTCCAGACCTTCTCCCCTACCTCAAAGATGACTTCTCTTACAGGGCAGCCTACACGAGGAGATCTTGCTACGGCGCCCACCTGGCTTCACTGGGTCGTTTCCTGCAGGCACCAAGTGGAGCCTCCGGCGGCCAGTCTACGGTCTCCGCCAGGCGCCTCGCGAGTGGCACGACACACTGAGGACGACGCTTGCGGCTCTTGGGTTTGCTCCTTCTACTGCTGACCCATCGCTGTTTCTACGCACTGACACTTCGCTGCCGCCATTCTACGTCCTCGTGTACGTCGACGACTTGGTCTTTGCCACTGCTGACACTGAGGCACTGACCCTTGTGAAGTCGGAGCTGCAGAAGAGACACAGCTGCACTGACCTGGGTGAACTGCGCAGCTATCTTGGCTTGCAGATCACCCGGGACAGAGCTCGGCGCACCATCACCCTGACTCAGTCACATGGTGCACCAGGTCCTTCAGCACTTCGGCTTCCGGTACTCCTCACCACAGTCCACTCCTCTGCCTCCCGGTCACTCGCTCTTAGCTCCACCTTTGGACGAGTTCGTAGAGCCGAGTGGCCTGTATCCAGAGCTTGTGGGCTGCCTCATGTACCTGATGACTTGCACTCGACCTGACCTTGCCTACCCTCTTAGCATCCTGGCATGGTACGTTGCGCCCGGGCGACACCGACCAGAGCAGTGGGAGGCCGCTAAGAGGGTGTTGCGCTACTTGTGCAGTACATCGGGCATGGGGCTCGTGCTTGGAGGACGGGGTCCAGTTGTCCTCACTGGTCACGCAGACGCTTCTTGGGTTGACGACTTGGCTACGTAGCAGTCGTCACAGGGTTACACCTTCAGCCTTGGCTCTGGCTCTGTTTCTTGGCGGTCTACCCGCTCGTCTTCTGTTCTCAGATCTAGTTGTGAGGCTGAGATCTACGCAGGGGCCATAGCTGCACAGGATTTACGCTGGCTCACCTACCTCCTCACCGTCTTGGGAGAGCGTCCTCGTTCTTCTCCAGTTCTGTACGTAGAAAACAAGGCCATGATTGCCTTGTGTCAGGAGCACAGACTGGAGCACAGAACGAAGCACATCGCTCTGCGTTACTTCCTTGCTCGAGAGTTGCAGCAGCGTGGTCAACTTCGTCTTGCTTACGTGGCCACTAGGGCCAACACTGCTGATATATTCACCAAGGCACTTCAATCTGGTGATCATCAGCGTTTCTGTACTATTTAAGGCCTTGTGCCTACTTTGCCTCACTTGCTCATCGCGTGACTTTGCTTGTACTGTGATCTATATATATACCTGCATGCTTACAGTTGCTATGGTATGATCACTGTACTGTTTGTTCTCTTTTATATAACTCTGCATGTGAACTGGCCTTGTGGCCTTTGCTTGTGCTCGGAATGTGTGGTGACTTCGTGATCCACCCTGAGCTTGCTTTGCTTTTCTTGACTGGTCTTATGACCACTTGTTCTCCCCCACTTTGCTTATGGGGGTGTGTCAAAATGTCATATTGCTTACTTTGTGTAGGCTATAGTGGGGTAGCCCATAAGGGGTACAACCTAATTAGGGTTAGTACTTGTACCCAATTCTTTCATAGTTCATTCATTCTCGTTCGTTAGTTTGACAGCGTGGCCAGGTTCGCCTTTCCTATGTGTTCTCCAAGGGCAACACTGCTGATATTTGTTGGAAATAAGAAGTCGCTAGAGCGCAGCGGAAGCTCTAGGAATTAACGACGTCCCTACGGCGGGGCTATTGGTCACTCAGAGGTAGCTCTCCTGGCTTGTAACGTGGTGCCAAAGCAGCGGCCGAGGGTAGGCCGGACACAAGCTTGAGAATTGTGTAATATGAGCAAGGCATTACATTCTGTTATATAGCAAACGCATAGGGCAAACAGTTACCAAGGCGCAACTGTATAACAGTTGCGCTGCGTCGCTTGGGTTGCCTTGTTACAGTCGCGCTGGCGAGACTTTTCAGCTTCGGCAAGGGCGCGGTATCCTGCCGCGCCCCACAGGTCAGTTTCGCGTACTGTAGACGATGACTCCTGCTGTCGATTCGACTCTTGAGCTGCCACGCGGGTCGCAACCGCTGTGTTCGGTTGCGGCCCGTTGACTCGCTACCAGGTTCAAATCCCTCGCTGTGGCGAGCCCCTGTAAGCACACTTCGAACAGTGCACTTATAATAAAAGCATACAAACATATTCTCAACAATATTTTCACCAAGGCCCTTTGGACTAGTGATCATCAGCGTTTCTGCACGGCTCTTGGCCTTGTGCCTACTCTGCCTCACTTGCTTGTCTCTTGATCTCGTCTTGTACTTGTTGTGCTCTGATACACCCTAAACCCTGCATGTCTACACTTGCTAGATTGTGATTATTGTACTGCTTTTGCTGTTATAACACTGCATGTGAACTGGCCTTGTGGCCGCTTGATTGTGCTCGGACTGTGTGGTGATCTTAAGATCCACCCTGAGCTTTGTTTTCTTTCTTCTCTTGACTGGTTTTGTGACCATTTGCTGTTCTTGCTATCCCACACTTAGCCCATGGGGGTGTGTCAAACATATTTGTATGTTTCTGTGTTAGGCTATAGTGAGGTTATCTATAGAGGGTACAACCCTTTCAAGGTTCCTATTTGTATCACCCTTGTTCCTTGGTCAATCATTCTGCTGTTTCAGTTTCTAACAAAGTGCTCATGCCACCTTGTATGCACATGACTCAACAATGTATGCAAAAACCACTACTGAACTTTGGCGTCAAATTACGGTATTGAGCATGTTTTTATTGTGGGGCACATGAATGACTGAGTCAAGCTACTGCTATAATGAGCACATGAGTGTCTGGTATGGGTGCATGGATGAGGTATCACAGCACCTGCCACCCCACCACTCCACTGCACCTAGCATGCTAATGCTGCTCACCCTTCACATTCTCCTCCGTGTTCATGTTTCTACAAGCTCCATCACCATCACCATCACCATCACTATCAGAAGCTCATGTGTGAGATTACAACCCGCTGATCACACCATGTCTGCCCATCCCTTACTGTGTCAGCATGCTACCACGTCAGCATGCCATCAAGTGGTCTTGAGCGCCACCATCATGGCCTTGCGCAGGCACGCTCCTGCCGCTGCTATCACGCCGCCTAGGGCTGACGCGGCTGGGGGGGCTGGAGGCGTGCCATCCTGGCGCTGTGCGTCTCCCTGCCATGGCGTGGGGAAAAGGGGAGAGAGCACTGAGCACCCAGACAGTATGATGCCGCAAGCTCAAGTTCAGAACTCAAAAGGCCTCAATGCACACAACGCGCATATCAATGCACAAGCGTTGCTGCCTTCACGCGCGCACCCAGGTACCAACACCCTCAGCGTGCTGTGCGTGCTGTGGTGCATAGAAAGTTGCAACCACGGGACATGGTGGGCTCACCACAGCAGTGGAGAGCAGTGAGAGCAGCTGCTGCCTCTCCTCGCCTGACTGCGCTGTGTGGGGCAGCTCCACGTCAGCCACTGCCAGGTGGCCGCCCGGCATTGGCCAGTCGTTGCAGGCGGTGAGGGTGAGCATGGCCCCGTTGGCCCATTTCACCTTGAAGGCGCCCTCCCCCGCCATTTCCACCATGTAGCTGCGACCCCATGGGCATGGCAGGGAAGGAGGGAACATGAAGGCACAAGGTACGGCAGTAGAGAAAGAGAGATGCTGTTTGCTTGAAGACGCTCTCCCCCGCCACCTTCACCAGGTAGCTGCACCACCCCATGGGCATGGGTGGTACGGTGGTGGGGAGAGAGAGAGGAATAAGGAGAGGAGAGGCGAGGAGAGGAGAGGCGACGACAGAAAGACAAGGCACAAGGTAAGAGATCAGCAAAAGCAACAGTGCGACGCACATGAAGGCAAAGGAAGGAACTGGAGATGAAGGGACATACCGGGGGGGGAAGGGAGCGGTGGCCAGTGCATGTGCCATGTGTGCTCGGCGCAGCGCCAGCAGGCGCAGCAGACAGGCCGCCTCCGCCACTGCTGCCGCCACCGGCACTCCTGCCCCCCCTGGGTGCTGCTGGACGCCCTCTGTGGCGCTGCAAGGGAGGCAAGGAGGGGAGATGCATGAGGCGGGGCGTGGTGCAGGGGTGCCGCCCATGTCGTGAAAGCAGAGCCTAGCTGAGAAGAAGAGGCGCTCATGCTGGGGCATGGCACGGAAAAGTATGGCATGGCATGGCATGGGATGGCATGGGATGGCATGGGATGGCATGGGATGGCAGGGAATAAGATGGCATGGCACGGTAGGGGAGTCACACCTGTCTGCAGCATGGGTGGAGGGGTGCAGAGGGAGTGAGCAGTGGGAGAGTCCTGGTGCGTCCTGCAGGGTGGGGAGGGAAGGGCGCATCGGTGGTGGGATGAGGCAGTAGCAATGGGGGGACGGGCAGTGCACACGGAGAGGTGGGCAGAGGGAGGGAGCATCAAAGCAGGTGGAAGAAGCAGGGGGCATGGCAGCAGCGGAGAGAGGCGTCTCACAATGGATGCGGAAGCAACGTGCCCTCCAGGCAGCACAGCCACCTCCACTGACGCACTGCCGCCCTCCCCTGTGCTGCCCTCCCCTGTGCTGCCCTCCCCTGTGCTGCCCCACGCCACATCAGGCAAGCCCCCCTTCCCGGTGGCCAAGGCAGAGGCGTGTGCTGCAGCGCTGGCTGAAGCGGCTGCCTCACGCTCAAGTGGCGGGCTCGAAAGAGAGTGGGGAGAGGGGAGGGGGAGGTGCAGGGAGAGGGAGCGGGCAGTCTGGGCGGTGAGGGCGGCGGGGCACAGCAGCGCCGCCAGCTGCTGCACTGCTGCCTGCGCCTCGCTGCCTTGCTCTGCCGCGTGCTGCGTGCTGGTGGTGCTGGTGGTGCTGGTGGTGCTGGTGGTAGCGGTGGTGGTGGTGTTAGCGGTGGTGGTGGTGGTAGCGGTGGTGGTGGTAGCGGTGGTGGTGGTAGCGGTGGTGGTGGTAGCGGTGGTGGTGGTAGCGGTGGGCGATGGCCTGCATGAAGGCGAGGGGCGAGCAGGACAGTGAGTGTGTGGACGGGGAGGGGAAAGAGGGGGCAAGGGTAGGGTTGAATGATAGGGTTGAAGGATTGAAGGAGAGTGCGACAGAATGAGGAGATCAGAGGGGGTTGATTGACAGAGCAGGAAGTGTGGCAGGAGGGGAGGGCAAAGGATGAAAGCATGAGCATGAGAGCAAGAGAGCGTGCAAGTGCAGTTTCTTTCCTATGGCGCATGTTTCATGGAGCGGCATGCGGCCAACCCCACCCACGCACACCCATGACCACCCATGCACACCCGCTGCCACATGCACTCCCTGGGTGGCAGCAACTCACCTGGCGCTCCTCGTACGCCCCTCTGCGGGGTGGCTCTGCTCCTCTCTCTGCACGGGGAGAGGGGGGGTGCAGCACAGAGGAAAAGTGGTGTGAGGCGCATGTGCAAGGGGGCAAAAGCATGAGAGACACTGGGGACGTGTGGGGAAGCGAGAGGCAGCAGCAGTCGTGTCTCACCGCTTGTGTGGCAGCAGCAGTGGCGAGGTGCGAGGAGAGCCCTTCAGCAGCAGCACAGTGCTGCAGCGACGCCGCCAGTTGTGCCTTCACACGGGTGAGCGCCGCCACATGCGCTGCCTGGTGGTGGGCGCGACGAGAGGGGGAGAGGGGCAGAGGGAGGGGTTGTGTGAGCAGAAGGGTATAAGGCGCTTGAGGGAGCGAGCAGCAAGAGCTGACCACTTACAGGGAGCCATGCGGCCCTCGTACAACGCACTGCTTCCTCTGCCTCATCCATGCGCCCCCGTTTTCCAACTCTTGCTTCTGCTGCCATTACATTCTTGCCTTTCCGGCATTTCCCTCCAATTGCTGGGACCCTCTGCCCACTCTTGCCCTCTGACGCTCACAACCTCCCATCATCCCAACACCCTTGCGCCCGCACCCTGCCCTCACCAAACACCCTTGCGACCACACTCTCCCCTCACCCCAGCCCCTGTGCGCCAACACCCTGCCCGCACCTCGGAGCCCTCTCCCTGTGCGCTGCACATGACCTGCCCCGCCGCCTCCTCCGCGTGCTGCAGCGCCGCCTCTGCCCTCTCCAGCGCTGCCAGCTGCCAGGTCAGCGGGGGGAGAGAGGAGCGATCAGGTGGATCAACGATCAGGGGAGCAATGATAAGGGGAGCAACGATCAGGGGAGCAGCAATAGGGGAGTAGCGAGCATTGGAGCAGCGATGAGGGCAGCACGAGGCGGCGACGGAGGCGCACCTCGATGGAGAGCGCGCTGAGTTGGTCATCCAGCTGGAGCTCCTCCATCCTCTCCTCTTCTGCCACGTGGACCAATGAGGCGCAAGGGTGGTGGTGGGAGGTGGGGAATCGGAATGTGGGGCACGGGCATACTGCATGACTGCACTGGCACCGATGTATGCACCACACGCTGCCATGCACCACACATTGCCAGCGGCTCACCTTGCCCCAGCGGCTCACCTTGCCCCAGCAGCTCGCACGCCTGTCGCAGGGCGTCGCATCTCTCATCTGCCATCGCCTGTGCGTCGCTGTTGGCCGCCTTGAGCTGCTGCCGTGCCGCCTCTGGTGGTCGCAGGGGGATGAGCGCAGGGGGGTGAGCGCAATAAAGGCGACGGATTTAGGAAGATGGGATCGGGAGACGAAGAGGGGAGAGAGCTGGGGAGTTGTGGGGGAAAGGCAAGTGGGGGGGGAGGAGGGGATCGAAGGGAAAGGAGAGGGTGGGAGTCGAGGGGGAAAGTCGAGTGGGGGAGACGAGGGCGGAAAGCGAGCAGGAGAAGCATGCGGGGTGGGCGGACATGCGAGGGGCTCGTCGGTCACCGGGCTACGATGCCTCGTGCCCTCGTGCCCTCGTGCCCTCGTGCCTCATGCCTCGTGTTCGCTCACTCAGTGTTTCCCTGTGCGCCTCATTCTCGCTCCAGCGGCAGTGTGTCACTGAAGCGCTGCAGCTGCGACGATGCCTCGCAGCTATTCGAGCGAGCCCACGTCCCACGGGCAGCAGGGCAGCGAGAGCACTCTCGCGCCTGTCCGCTCACCAGCGTCGTCGTGGCCGCCCGGCAGGTCCCACGAGTCCCGCAGCAGCAGCGGCCCCGCGTCTCTCAGATAGCGCAGCAGCGCCGCACTCACGCCGCTTTCCACAAAACTCGTCTGCAGCCGCTTCACTGCCGCCTATCGAAGCATTCCATACGGTGTACACAATCGATACATCCAGCGTACACAATCGAAACATTCAGGTACACAATCGAAACATTCAGGTACACAATCGAAGCATTCAGGGTACACGACTCAGGCGCGCATGAGAGGTGACGATGGCGGACGCGCATCGCGATGAGCAGAGAAAGGAAGCGACCAACTAGCAATGAACAGGTGGATTCTCCATGCCTGTTCCCGTCTCTCCCACCTGACCGTTGACCTGGCGCGACTCTCTCTCCCACCTGACCGTTGACCTCGCGCGACTCGACGGCGCCATCCGCGTTCGCTGGCGCGCCCTTGAGCCGCTCCTCGCGCTCTCTGCGATGGTTGCACACGGTGAAGGGGGCGACGGGAGCGTTGCTTAGTCGGGAATGAGAATCGTTGTGGCGCAGCAGCGACAGCGCAAGTGAACGGGGAAGCGATCAACAGAACGGCGGAGCAGCGGAGCGGCAGAGTGGCGGTGGCTGACTGCGCGATGGCGACTAAGGGGTCCGAGGGAGAGCACAGTAGCGGAGAACGAAAACGGGCGAAACGACAGATCCTGAATTCAAATTCAATAAGGGCTGGAAATGAACGACAAGCCACGGAGAAATGTGCGAAAAGTTCCTACGTAGTCAGCTGAATAAGTTCGTTCGAAATGTCTTGCAACGCGCGCTTCTGAACATCGCCCATCCTGCGAATATCGGTCGTGCGCGGCTGGTATGAAACTAGTTTATTTGCAAACGAAAGAAAAACCCTGCACTATCGGTACTTGTTCGGTAAGATACGAAGTGGGTGGGAGTGAATGGGATAGTGACAGGACCTAGGGAGAGAATTTCCTGTTGAACCTTGGGGGAGTGAAGGCGTTCCTGCTTTCCCAAGGAGGGAGAAACGGAGCACTCAGAGGAGCAGCACCACGCTCACTTGCTTGCGCGCGTCCCTCGATCTCATCACCCGCTGCCCCTGTTCCCAACTTTGCTCGCGCCTTGAGGTCTTCGGGGTTTGAAATGTGTCAGTCTGGCGGGAAGTATTGCTAGAGTGTGACGCGCCAAGCATCACAAAACGAGAAACATGGGCTCGAATGTTCCCAGATAAACCACCAGAGCTGTACTGAAATTCCCATTCCTTATGTTACAAGTGAAATTGTTGAAGCGAGTGGGGATTGCACTAAGAGTCAAACGAGTACAATGCGAGCCAAGGCATGAGCGAAAAAATATAGTGAGAACAATGAACAGTAACGCGGGCTTGCGAGCTAGCTAGTGCGATGCTGGCAACGAGGCTCGGGCTAGTCTCAGATCGTAGGCCGACTCGACCAAGTCCAGCAGTGAAAGGTTTGGCAAAAGTGAGGCCCGAAATGGCGAACACCATTAGGTTGTAACAGGCGAAGGAACGGTCGGGTATTGTACGCGTTGTTGAGGTGTACGGAAAGGAATCCGAAAAAATAATTACATCTCAATAGTTGAACAGCGGAATGATTGCATTAGGGTTGGGAAGCATTACAAATAGGAACCCTAGCAATATGCTGTACTCCCTACAATGCTACTCACTGTAGCCTAACGAGATATTATAACATTTGACACACCCCCATAGGCTAAGTGAGGGGCATCAAAACAAGCAAGGGAAACAACAGTCACAAGACCTGTCAAGAACGAGCAACAAAACAAGGCTCAGGGTGGCGCTCAGAGTCACCACACAGTCCGAGCACAAACAAGAGGCCACAAGGCGAGTTCAATAGTTCACAAGTATATATAAAAGAAAAATTAAGCCGAGCAAACAACAAGGCTACAGCAACCGACACCAGCGTCAACAAGGCTTAACTGCAGACAGAATCTGTGGTGGTCACTAGGCGCTAGGGCCTTGGTGAAAATGTCTGCTGTATTGGCCGCTGAGGCCACGAAGTCCAAGCGAGCCAAGCCGCGTCGCTGCAGCTCTCACAGGAGAAAGTACCTCACGTCGATGTGCTTCACTTTACCCTCCAGTCGAGGCTCTCGACAAAGGAGGATCATGGCCTTGTTGTCAGCGAACAAGGTCGGTGCAGAGCGAGGTCGCTCAGCAAGGTCAGTGACCAAGAAAGTCAACCAACGAAGCTCCTGCGCAGCCATGGCACCATCGAAGATCTCTACCTCTACGCTGGACTGTGCCACAAATGACGACTGAGTAGACCTCCACGATATAGCTCCAGCACCCAAACTGAAGCAGTACCCCTGAGTAGACCGCTGGGTCTCCACGTCGTCGGCGTACGAAGAGTCGTAGTGACCGGTCAACACAACTGGCTGTGTCCCTCCAAGCACAAGCCCCACGCTTGATGTAGTCGGCAGGTACTTCGCCACCCTCACAGCAACCATCCAGTGCACAAGTTGGTGTCTTCCAGTCGCAACAAAGCGAGAGAGAACACTGAGGGGAAAGGCGAGGTCCGGGCGAGTACAAGTCATCAGGTACATGAGGCAGCCCACAAGCTCAGTGTAGGGACCACTAGACCCAAAGGGCTTGTCGGGAAAAGGGCCGGTAGGTATGTGGTCGAGAGCAAGAGGAGTGGGCTGTGTGGTGGAGAACTGAAGGTCGAACAACTGAAGGACCTGCTGCACCATGTGTGACTGTGAGAGTGTAATGGTGCGAGCGCCTCTGTCTCTGGTGATCTGCAAGCCAAGGTAGACATCACCCAGGTTAGTGCACGTGTATCTCTTTTGCAGTTCGGACCTCACCTCAGCCAGAGCAACCCTGTCTTCTGTAGCAAAGACCAAGTCATCGACGTAGACAAGGAGAAAGAAAGGAATGGAGCCTCTGCGAACAAACAGCGACGGTTTGGCGGACGAAGGGCGGAAACCGAGGTCAGCCAGAGTGGTGCGTAGCGTGTTGTGCCACTCACGGAGCGCCTGGCGGAGACCAACTGGTTGTCTCAGGCTCCATTGGGTCCCACGAGGGAAAGTGCTAATGAAGACAGGAGGACGCCGCAGACAGACCACCTCGTGTAGGTGGCCCTGGAGAAAGGCAGTGGAGAAGTCAAGGGAGTGCAGCTCGTAGTCTCGCTGTGCTGCTGCGTGAAGTAACACCTGAAGAGTAGTCGTCTTCGGGGTCAGGGCGAAGGTTTGAAAGAAGTCAACTCCTTCACCCTGACTGAACCCCCTAGCCACATAGCGCGCCTTGAAGACAGGCGGTGATCTAGTCGGCCGCTTCACCTTGAAGATCCACATGCCGTCGACTACGTTCACCGTGGGAGGGGGAGCCGCGTCGACGTAGGTGCCTGTGGATCTCTAAGACACTATCTCTGAGTCCATGGCCGCTTTCCACTGAGAGGCCCACTTCCCTGACACTGCCTCACTGTATGTGCGAGGAGTCGGTATGTCAAGGGCGTCGGGGTCTCCCTCAGGGGAAAGCAGCATGGCACAGAGAGAGGGAGAAGCGGCTGCCAAGAACTCCAGCTCAAACTTCCTGTCCTATAGGACGTCACAGCCAAGAGCAAACTCACCCCAAGCGGAGAGAGGACGGGTAGGTGGAGCAGAGCCACGACACGCGTGGCGAAGTCAAGGCAGCGGGTGGCAGCAAAGTCAGCGACATCGGCAGTGAGAGCCGAGACAGACGACGAAGAGGTACGAGGGTCGGTGACAAGAGAGGCGAGAACACGCAGGACAATAGGAAGAGCGGCAACGGTAGTAGTCAGAGATAGGAGTAGAGGAGACAGGAAGAGACGACTCAGGAGGAGACGGGAAAACAGATGCAGGCAGAGAACGACGACGACTAGAACAAATGAGGGCAGTGCGGAGGCCGTCAAAGGGAGACGAGGGACGCACACGCGGGGGACAGGGACGGACGCGGGAGTGCAGGACAATTGGAGGAGACGAAGACCGAGGAGGAGAGTAAATAGCATGTGACGCATCCGGACGAAGAAACATAGGACCGAAGGCAGGGGGAGACTGTGAGCGGACAGGAGTAGAAGAGGGAAGACCAAGGGTCCGAAGGCCACTCACGGGGGGGAACAACTGCTGCAAAAGGGGCGGCTGCGGCGGCTGCTGCTACTGCGGCTGCCGCTGCTGCTGCTCCTACTGCACCTGCTGCCGCTCTTGCTGGCCTAGCTGCTGCTGCTCCTGCCTCTCCTGCTCCTCGCGCGCACGCCAACAAGCAGCCTGGTAATGTGTGTCGTAACGGTGGGGAGGCAAAGAAGGCGTCGAAGTAGGAGTGCCTCCAGCCCCAATCCCCCTCAGAGCTAGCACCTTTAGTGCCAGCACCCCCATAACCACAACCTCCAAGGTCAGGAACCCCAGCACGAGCACCTCCTAAACTAGCACCTCCAGTGTCAGCACCTCCAGCGCCAATACCTCCAGCTCCAGCACCTCCAGCTCCAGCACCTCTAGCTCCAGCACCTCCAGCTCCAGCACCTCCAGCTCCAGTCAGCTCCAACACCCCCCAAACGAGCACCCCCAGACCGAGCACCTCCAGCGCTAGCACCTCCAGCTCCAAAACCCCCAAAGTCCATAATAACCTATCGCGGAAGTGCCGAAGGCTACTAAGGGGACTGTGAGGAGGACTGCAGAGAGGGAGGCGCCACCAGACGCGCTACCAAGGGTAGAGGGGTAGCATGAGACACACCTGGCGCGGCAGGACCAGGGGAGGTGGGGGGGTACCGGAGGAGTGGGAACAGGAGGAGGAGAGGGGGTGAGGAAAAGGGGAGGAAGGGGAACCGAGAGACATCGACAGTGGTAGAGAACGTAGTAGAAAACTGACTCGTCCAACCGGGCAACACGGGAGCCGAGGAAACGGTGGAGGGGCGGGTGGTAAAACGCCAAGTCAGGAGAGTCTACCGGGAAACCAAGGAAAGAGACAGGGGATGGCACGAGCTGAGAGCTTGTCCGCAGAGGTGTCGCGGACAAGCAAAAGGCAGCCCAAGACACGAATATCCGACGCAACACCAGGAGACCCAGTCCAAAGACCGGTCGGTGAATCCCCTGGTCGTGAGACACGAGGCCAGAGGTTCAGCGGAACAGCGTAGGGCCACAGAAAATGGGGTGTACGGGCATGGATCTTGGAGGTGCGGGCGATCTCCATGACCAAGCCAATGCGGCGCTCAGCAACCCCATTCTAATGTGGGGACTCCGGAAGCGTCCAAGACTATGTGATGCCCTGTTCGCCGCAGAATGCGGCAAGCACGTCGGAGAGAAACTCACCTGCACGGTCGGAGTGGAGACAAAGGACATGACTACCACGAGTGGCCTCAGTGGCGAGGAGCCATCGGATCAGAGTAGAAGTCACCTCAAACTTCTTCGCTAGAGGAAACACCGTGCTGTACCTGGAGTAGTCGTCAACGACCAACATAAAGTAGCGCTCCTACTCGGGCCCAAGCCAAGGGGCTGGGCCCCAGACGTCCAAGTTGAGGGTCTGGAAGGGAGACATGGCTGGATGAAGGGAGGAGGAGTGAGGAGTGGTGCGCAGCCGACCCTCGACGCAAGGAGTGCACAACAACGCAGGCGAGCGGGGGAGCGACGCAAAGACACGTGGGAGACCCGAGACAAGACGCTGACAAGCCATGTTGCGGAGGCGGGGGAGGGACGGGTGGCCAAGACGGTGGTGCCACAGGACCATCGGGTGGGTGAGAGACCAATAGGAGCACGGCGCAACAACCTGACCCGAGGAAACTACCTGACCGGACGCAGCAACCTGACCAGATGCAGCTACCTGGGGGGGCGGAGTGTGCAGGATGA